GAAACCTGACTGATCAACTGGTGGCTCGACGGAAGCACCCCGCGGAGCCTGGCTCGAACTCGAGCCTGTAGACGACGGGGAGGAGGTAAGCCTGCTGGAAAGAACCACTGAGGCTGCCGTCGTGCTGGCCGTGGTAGTGGACGACGGACAGGGCTGACGTCCCTGTCGCACCTGGGTCTGGGGTTGGGAGCCCACGCCCATGCCGAGCGGCGCCCCCTGTGGTGGATCCGTTCTTGCCCTTGCCCTCGCGCATCTGCTGGCTGCCGTTCAACGCCGCGGACTTGGCGCGGGACAAGCGCTCAGCCTCGGCCTCGACCTTGCTCGCCTGCTGCTCCTTGCTGCTGCCTGTGATGCCTTCTGCTCCGCTGAAGGCTCCCCGCCCGCAGAGGCGGCGGCAGCCGTCGGCGCTGCAGCATGGCCTGAAGTAGACTGGCCATCGCCTCCTGGGACGGCCTGATCATCGTTGTTCCTCCGCTTCTTGGCGAGACGTTCCTGGATCGGCGCCTTGAGTTCGGCTGCGCGACGCAACCAAGCTTGTGCCTCCTCTCCCTTGGACTTCAAAGTGTCCTTGGTGCTGACTAAGTCCTTGTCTGGCTGCGCCAAGGCTTCCTTCTCACTTTGCTCGCGCTCTAGCTGGTCAGTGTTGGTGAAAAGCTCCTGGTCCAAGAGCAAATGGAACAGCGACCTGAGGCCCTTATCATCGCCGCCAACGCTGCCGGGAGCGGCGAAGACGCCCTCAGCCCTGGCAAGAACATGCGCTGCCTGGGACTTAGCGATGGTGGCCTGAACCAGCGTCCTGGCCGCCTGCTGCTCCGTAGCCCCTGCGTGCTCCAGTTGGCCACGCAGGCGGTGGACTGCCTTGGCCGTCTTGTCGTGCTTCACCTCAGCATCCCGCCATGCGGCGCCTGTGCGCCTAACCTCGCCGGCGGGCGAGGCGACTAGCAGCGGGGGCTGCACCTCAACCTTGGCAAACTCCGCCTCGAGCGCCGCCTTCATCTGCGCATCGGACGTCTGCGCGATGGCTGCCTTCAGCGAAGCCGCGCGATCCTGGCCCTCCGTGGTGGACTGGGGGCTCTTCAAAATCGAAATCGGGCTGGCAGCACCCTTGGGGACCAAGTCATTATCTGCCTCATTCCCGAAACGTATTCGCCATGGCGGACCCCCCTGGAGATGACGACCTGGAACGGCTGTTCCTGGGAACAAATACGCGGACTTGTCTGCTACACACTCTGCATTCCCTCCCCCCTACTCCCCGTCCTCCTGCTCAGCAGTAATACATTGTGCATAAATCTCTCCTCTCCCCCCTCTCTCTTCCCCTGACTCAGTGCGGAAGAAATTCGGTCCTTTCCGCGTACGGTGTCCCACACACAAAGTGTCAATCCATGTAGTTTGTTACGATTTGGTGTTCAATCCGTTTGCTTCCGGTGTTTCAAAACGGAACTCCTGCTGTAGCATGGGCCTCATTTTCGGATCGGCCTCATTTTCGAATCGGCGCTGGGCTCCTGTCGTTCAGCATTTCGTTCTCGCCCCAGCGATGGCCATTGTTCTGGACGCGAATCCGTTTTTCATCGTTCTCGCCCCCGTCGTTTCCCCTCCTGCGACTTCCCCTGGTCCTCCTGCTCCTCACATTCCTTCCACTCCAATTCTTGCTGCTGTCATTCGTCCTGTCCTCCTCCGTCCTGTCCTCCTCCGTCCTGTCCTCCTCCGTCCTGTCCTCCTCCGTCCTGTCCTCCTCCGTCCTCCGTCCTCCGTCCTCCGTCCTCCGTCCTCCGTCCTCCGTCCTGAGTCCTCCTCCTCCTCCTCCTCCTCCTCCTCCTCACTCATCCGTTCGCTCCTGCTCGTACTCTTGCTCACACGCCACCCCCTCCTCCCCTTCTTGTGTACGCAGCTCCCATTTCCAGCGGCGCATAACAAGATGGTGTTCATTTGGAGTTCCAGGTCGGCTACGTAGCACCCCGCAATTGCGGATAAGAGTGGGGGGGCGGGCGCGGGCGACGCGGGCGTCGAGCCGGCGGACCTCGTGGCCCTCACCTTCCCTGTCGATGGCGCCCTCCTCCTCCTCCCCCTCCTCCTCCTCCTCCTCCTCCTCCTCCTTCTCCTCCTCTTCCTCGTCCGCGTCATCGTCCTCATCGTCGTCGTCGTTGTCCACCTCCTCCAACTTTTCCTCCTTTTCCTCTTACTCCTCCTCCTCCTCCTCCTCCTCCATTCCTCCTCCTCTCCCTCCTCCTCCTCCTTCCCTCCTCTCCTCTCCTCTTCACTCCCCCATCCCGAGATCCTCCCCCGCCTTCCTTTCCGTCGTCATCGTCCTCCTCCACCTCCTCCTCCTCCCCCTCCTCCTCCCTCCTTTTTGGTCGTCCCCCTCCGTCCCCCCTCCTTTTCCTCCTCGCCCTCGTCGTCGGCCTCCTCTTCGTCCTCGTACTCGTCGTCGTCGTCGTCGTCGTCGCCTGCCTTTTCCTGCTCCTCGCCCTGCTCCTCCTCCCCTCCTCCGCGGAACGCGCGC